CTATTTTACCAGGCAAAACATTAAGAATAACTTCTTATTTACAATGTCAGCTTAGCGGGTACCAGAGACACCCATAAGGAAAAGGTGAAGGAGAAACAAAACATCAACATATCCAAGTCACATAGAGAATAAATCAGATAAAAATATAAAATATACATAATAAATAAAAACAAAACATATAACTTAAAAGACATAGCGCACTCAATATGATAAAACATATGCTTAGCATTGACAGGTCAGTGATGGTATAAAGCTCATGTAAAGTTGATTTGAACTGGCCCATAGGTACAAGTAACTGTAATTTCAGATCATTCTGCAAGTTATTCCATGTGGAAGGGGCTGCATAGCTAAAAATGAACTTCCCCTGATTTGTCCTGATCCTAGGAACAGACAATAGGTACATGTTTTGTGATCTAAGGCCCTACCTGCCACACTCCTTCCTCATCAGAGACGCACACAAATATGTGGGTAAAAGACCAAGAATTGCCTTATAGATAAAACACTGCCAGTGGATAAGCCTCCTGACAGCCAATGGAAACCAACCATTCAAAGACAGTAGGGTACACTCTAAAAATGAAATGTTGAATTTACTCAACCATGTCATGTGACCTGGTTCCACTTAACTGAGTTGAGTAAATTCAAAGCAACATACTCATGTTCTTTGGCTAAAAAACTGGTATACTGCTTTGAATTTACTCAACTCAGTTAAGTGGAACCAGGTAACATAACATGGTTAAGTAAATCCAAAATTTATTTTTTACAGTGTATATGGTACAATGATTTAATTATTAATTCATTCTTCATCTTCAGTTTAGCTAAAACCCCAAGTTTGATGGCTTTTCATTATAGTTCAGAAAAAAAAGCTGTCAAGGCATGCCAAACTGCTGACGTTTTCACTTGTGTACTTTTGCAGGTTTTTGAGTGAAAACTCAATGTTCAGTGATCCAATCGAGTTCTCAAACATAAAGAGGCATTCAGAGGGAACGTTTTCAAATGACTACAGTAAATACCTGGAGACAAGAAGAGCACAAGACTTTGTCCAGTGGCTGAAGAATTCCAAAAGAAATGGGTAAGGATTTCTCACTTTTAACGACATTAATAATGATTCGAGGCAGAAATTTGGACTTTTAGACTTACTCTGACTCTGATTTTTTGATTTTGCGACGACGCCTCCTTCTGTTTTATTTTGCAGGAGTTTATTCAGACGTCACGCAGATGGGACTTACACCAGTGACGTCAGCTCCTATCTGCAGGACCAGGCAGCCAAAGAGTTTGTGTCCTGGCTGAAGACCGGCCGAGGCAGACGAGACTAAACTCTGGCTTAGCCCCTCTGGCTGTTGCCCCTTTTTTCAAGAAGAATGCAGCTATTTTTCACTGATTCTGCGACAATGTATGTTTCACAATCTGTGCTGTACTTGTTCCCGTTAATACTATTAAAATCCTGTTCACAAGAAGCCTTGCYGGCCTTCAGTGATTGAAGGAAATGTTGCAAAATACATATGGCTCATAAATAATGTTGAAAATTTAAAGAAAAGTTTTTTCCCTCTATTCTSTCATTTTTATCTTTTTGTTCAAATAAATTTGTAATGTCCTCACTGATTTAAACTGGAGGTGTGCTCTTCATTTATTCCATCTTTAGACAGTTTTTTTTAGTTTTAATAAAGGGATATGTTGTTCAAAAGAAATTATATCAAAAGAAATAATTCACCAGATCTTAGCAGGAATCAATGCTTCTATCAGAGAATACAGAATCTTGTGCACTTTTTACCTTAATGTCTGAAAAATGGCTAAATTATCCTAAAATCATTTTATTTTGCTGTTTCTCTTAATAGGGTTTAATACTCAGTGTTAGTGTTGAAGTTTTGGCCTGAAATGTGATTCCACTATTATTTATTTATTTATTTATTTGTTTGTTTGTTTCAAATCTTGCTTGCCTAAAGAGGCAGAACAAAACCCAATAAGCAGTTTGCTCCCCAGTGAGAGCAGTGCTGTGGGATTTCCTACGATGATGCGTTTCACCTGTCAGCTGCTCACTGAAGAAGGATTTCCCACCGATGAACTGACTGCACACCGAGGACCATTGTGCGAAATAAGAAGTAAAAGAAGAAATCGTGTCAATCAGCTCAGTATGGTTGGGATGAGTGACTGGGTCAACACTCCTCACTCCTCCTGGCTCTGAGACAAAACAGTAATTCACATGAGCCCGGCGGCGTGACGAGCTCTGGGATGTTCCACCTCTCTCGGCTGTCATCTGCAGCACATCAAACCATCTGTTGACTGTGAAAGAAATATCTCTGCCCACTTCAGTCTGCKCCCGGGCCAAACCTGTCAGGGTTAGGAGGAGTTGGCACAGGTTTCCTCCCCTGCTTTGACTCTGAGTGTTTCTCTAACATGAGCACTGGTGTAGCTTGATAACCCCTGCTTTGTGATGCATAACACTTTCATTGATTACTGTTATGGCAATATTTATTTAACAAAGACCGAAATACGTGGTCCAAGAATGAAGGTACTCCGTGAGATGATCAGCTGAGTTTTATTGCAACAACAGGAAACAGAGA